AGTATCCGGATCCCACCTAAAACTACTTGCCGGCCCCTGATCTAAAAGGTTGATATCGATATCTCCCATACAAATAATATCATCGACACAGAGCCAAATATAATTCAAATTGTGCTCCAATTCTTCTGATAACAATTGAACATTATGCAGTCATAATTTTTTCTAGTCGAAACCAATTTTATACTCATAAAACAAATAATTTTTGAATGTTTTTTTAAATTACTTCATTCAGTAGTGTAACATTACAATCCACCTTTCTTAAGTATTTCAAGTAATTTTTTATATACTTAAATCAAAAATTTCAAATCATGAACATGATTTTATTATTTATCGATCACGCAATTAATTGACGCTCCGGAGCGACTTCATTGATTCCGGTGGCGCATTTGCTTTTTCAGCTGCAGGAGAACCCGGAAAAACCTACAGCACCACATCATCTGAAGATCTTGATCTGCCAATGTCCTGTCTCTCATAAAACGAAATGTAGGGTGTTTCCAGAGGCTCCAATAAATTCAGTGCCAGAACACTTGGTGACACAAATATTTCTGAAAACTCGTGTCATATTCAGAACACAAAAAGTAGATTAGGTTAAAAGTGAGGACCTTCCATTGTAACCCACTGTGGCTTACAACTATTCAAACTCAACCAAAGTCCAGCTTTCTCAAAATGTCAATTGGCTTTTTTGGTATGTGATCTGTTAGGTCAGATGACACAAGGGAAATTCTGCCAAACTCAGAAAACCTAAAGTATGTGTTCTGCTGTTTCTTCAATTTCCAAACAGTGAATACACGCAGTGTTTTCTGACAGATCAATACTCTCGGTAAGATTATTCAGACGATAGTCTGTGAGTAGTAAATGCCTTTTAATGTACAAATCCTGGAAAATTCTGCCAGAAGTCTAAAATTATATTCGCAGTCCAGGTAAAGTGTCTGAAAGCGAAGAAGAACATCGTCTCGTCAAAGGAAGCCAAAAAAACCAGCAGGCAACTCAGAGACGGCAGGTGTCCTCACCTCATCATCTGAGCCTACACATCCCTCAATTCCAGGAGAGGAGGGTGAAGGTGTCCTTAAAGACCCCCCATCTCCTCCCTCCTAGGGTCAAGGAGTTCTGAGTTTGCGGCAACACTTGTTAAATTGAAGGCAAACTTACAACATGCCAAGGCCGCCTCATACGTCCTTGGTGAACACTTCAAGGAAGAATCAATCAACCTTGCCTTCCTGCAGGAACCATGGACAGAAAATACAGGCCGAGTAAGCGGACTGAGCAATATTCCTGGTGAGGTGATATCGTGCCCTGGGGTGAAACCTAGAGCTTGCTTGGTCATCAGGAAAGGTATTAACTATTTTCTGCTTACAGGCTTCTGCACCCAAGACGTGGTAGCCATCCAAATTTCCCTATCGGGCAAGAAGGGTAAGACGAATTATATCGCCTGCTCCGCCTACTTTCCGGGAGATTCGGATACTGTACCTCCTCTAGCTGTGAGACGACTTATCGACTACAGCAAAAGTCACAAACTACAAATAATATTAATGGGATGTGATGCCAATTCACACAATACAGCGTGGGGCAGCACGAATATAAACCGTAGAGGTGAGTTACTCTTTCATTATATACTAGGGAAAGGGCTGTTCATAATTAATGAGGGTTCGGAACCAACTTTTGTCACTAGTAGTAGGCAAGAGGTATTAGACTTAACCATCAGCCCATATAATCTGAGCAACAAGATACACCATTGGTCAGACCATAGATATATTCTTTTCAATATTGAAACAGGTCTAAGACCAGTAGTGGAATATCGTGACTCAAAATCTACTGATTGGAATGGGTATAAAAACTCCCTCCAATCTTTGAGGACGGATTCATTACTATTTCCAGTTGTAATGATATGGATACAGTAGCGACGCAATTTCGCGAAGCAGTGATCTCATTCTATCATGAGAACTGTCCACTGAGGGTTAAAAAGGAGGAACAAAAGCCTAGAAAATAAAAGAAAAGAAGTTCGACGTTTATTCAATCGAGCTAAAGAGTCAGGTAACTGGAAGCTTTATAAAACTACTCTAACGTTATACAACAAAGATATCAGAAAGGCAAAACGGGAGTATCGGAGAAAGTTCTGTGAGAGTATCTCTGATTGACCTCGCAGCACAAGAATTCATAGGATTTTCCCTAGAGAGCCGACTACTGAAACTGGGTCGCTTAAACGACCCGATGGAACATTTACGATCTCTAGTAAAGAAACGTTAGAGCTTTTGATAGAAAACCACTTTCCTGGAAATCTGACTCTTGATAAAAACAAACCTCCCATCTCCAAGGGCGCTGAACGCCCAAAAAGAAACGATTGGGACGTCGCAAAGAAGGTTATCACAGCACCGGCAGTTGAATGGGCTATCAAGTCTTTTCAGCCCTTCGAATCTCCCGGAAAGGACGATATATTTCCAGCTCTTTTTCAGAACGGAATGTAAATAATTTTACCTATTCTCACAAAATTGTATAGAGCTAGTCTGGCGTGGAACTACATACCACCCACTTAGTTGGCAGCAAGGGTGGTATATATACCTGAAGTGGGTCGGAGAGACCCACACCCTAATTCGGTACGACCAATCAGCCTTACATCCTTCCTGCTGAAAGGACTTGAGAGAATACTGGATGGACATATCAGTAGGGTAGCATTATATACATCCCCCTGAATAACCACCAGTATGCTTATCAAACCGGCAAATCGACAGATTTAGCATTAAACAACCTCGTTGAGAAAATCTCCCAATCCCTTGACAACAAGGAGATTGTGGTTGCTGTATTTCTTGATATTGAAGGAGCATTTGACAATGCACTTCCTAAATCTATAGGATTGTCTCTGGCTAGGAAGGGTATAGAACCGACCATAACTGGCTGGATCTATGCCGCACAGAACTGCAACTACGACTTTTCGAGGCGAGGCCATCAGGTTCAGGGTCATCAGGGGCTGCCCTCAAGGTGGGGTACTATCTCCCCTTCTGTGGTCGCTCCTGATGGATAATCTGCTTGACGCCGTTGATGGAAAAAAGTTGATCTGCAAGCTTATGCAGATGACCTTGTCATCCTGGCAAGGTCCACGTCGGGAAGGGTAGCTTGTAATATCCTCCAAAGCACGTTGGACGTTGTTCACAGTTGGTGCCTGAGGAAGCAGATGTCTGTCAACCCCAACAAAACCCCAATTTCCCTCAATGATGAGGTCATTCCATTCAGAACGGAGGTGAAATATTTTGGCATTGTCCTTGATAAAAGACTCACCTGGAACGCTCATTCGGAAAAAGTATCACACAAAGCCAGACTGTCTCTATGGACATGTCGAAGGATTTGTGGTAAACCTTGGGGCTTAGGTCTCAAACAAATCCATTGGATTTATGTCATGATTGTCATACCAATAATAACTTATGGTGCAGTTGCTTGGTGGCCGAAGGCTTTACAGAAAACGGCCCAAGCGAAGCTCTCTAGCTTACAAAAACAGGCTTGTCTGGGTACCACTGCTGCCATCAATACCACACCGTCAGCGGCCATGGAGATCCTTCTAGATCTACCTCCTCTCCAAGTTTTTCTGGAGATAGAGGTTAGATGGGCTGCATACAGCCCATCTAGCACATTGCCAATTGCACAAATCAATTGAATGTAGAGTACAACACACAACAGATTGAATAAATCCAACCTCACACACAAGTCAATAAAAATATTCTCGAACAGTCAAGCGGCGTTGGAAGGTCTTGGCTCCTACCAAACAACGTCTAAAGTGGTAGCAAACTGCCAAAAACGACTCTCCTCGATAGGAAGACTCAACAGATTGTCTCTGGTCTGGATTCCTGGCCATACTGGCCTGGAAGGCAATGAAGCTGCTGACTCTCTCACAGAGGAGGGTGCTGCAAGCGGCTTCATCGGACCAGAACCTGTCATTGGCATCGCTTTGGGCCTTGCCAAACAAACACTGAACACCTGGATGACAAGACGATTTATGGACTTCTGGCAAAATTTTCCAGGATTTCCAAGGCGTTTATTCACCCTTCGAATCTTGATACCAAACAGATACCAAACAATGTAGACCATTAGGAATGAACTACGATGTCTAACAGGCCTTCTTACAGGTCACTGTCATTTGAAACATCATATGCAGATACTTGGACTGTCGGAAGGCAGTGTTTGTTGCCTCTGTCTGGAAAATGATGAAACGGTAGAGCATATACTTTGTGCTTGCTCCGCTGGGGACCGAATCAGGTTCTTAGAGTTCGGCAGATCCGTACTCTCACCATCTGATCTGAAAGATCACTCACCATGCAAACTAATCGGCTTCGTTAAGAAGCTGGTTTATTTAGCCGAGTGTGAATAGGTGTGAGCCACAATAAATCCTTGTGGGTTGCAGTGGAGGGTCAAATAGACCCACTCACTTTAGACCTACCTACTTACCTACCTCTAAAATGAATCTCTGGAGTTTTTGTGTTGCGAGGTATATCGGAAATACTCTCAAGCGAAACTTTCTCGAGGATTCCCGTTTGGCCATTCTGATTTTTTGTGTTAGTCGTTAGAATAGTTTCATGAAGCACCCAGGTACCTGACTCTTTTGCTCGAATGAATGAGAGTCGAAATTCTTTTCTTTATGAAAAAGTCAGTTTTCACCTAAATATATGATAATTTAAGAGAAAAAATCATAAACATGAAGACCGGTTTTCCCAACGTTCCTAGAAAACTTTTAGGTTATATGGATAAATGGTTCATTCAAAAAATATATATCTTTGTATTTCCTACAACTTTTTTGTTTATTTTTTTCAATGAGAGGTCTAACTTCATTGAAAATTTTGAAAACTATTTTATACCTCTAAAATTTCATTTCGCATCGACTTTAATTTATCTTTCCTAATGAGAATACTATCCTTTTGCCTTTTTGTGCTGTTAATATTTGTTTCCTTCTCAAAAATCATTTGTATTCTCCTACAGTGAAACAAATTTTGAAATTTGTGGTTATAGTTTTCACTTACCAGCTTTTCATTATCAACTTCCAAGGCCTCAAACGTAAAAGCTCCCAAAACACAGTAGGATACAACCATAGACACCAAAGTTATGTGGGAAAAAAGGCATGTCACAGTTTTGTACGAATAATGCAAAAACCGCGAACAGGCACTAGGATTTTCATATCCTAATACTTCAGATGATCGGTAACTAGACATAGCAAGAATCAAGTTTTTGACCGCAACTGATACACATAAGAAATTTAAAATTCAGAATTGAGCGCACTTAAAAAAATACGAAATGTTTACCGTCTTGTTATGCAAAGTCAGCAACTGCTCTATTTTTAAATTCCGATTTCTCTATCAGAGCTTCGCGGTATTCTAAAATACCAAAATAACTTTCTCGAGTGGTTTACTTGTGTTTGCAGTTTTATTCTTTCCTCGACGAAATTATGTAATTAAACTGATTATTATTGGAGAATATTTGTTTTCCATTTTAACTTGATGGGCCATCATCTTAGACGTTTATGGTTCAATAAAATCCGATGATTTTGTTGTGTCAGAGGTCGAAATAATGTCAGAAGAATAATGTTTTCAAAAAAAGTTTTGGCTTTCTACTTCTCTAATCTTATGTATAGAAAATACGGGAAACTTCCAGAAGAAAGAAAAAGCAAACAATTTCAAAATTAATTCTTTACAAAGATATGTAGATCATGCATAGAAATTTCTTTCAGATACAAACTGGAAAAAAACCTCTCGAAACAACTTTTTCATGTAAAATTCAATTACACGAAAGAAAGAGTACTGCTGAAACCAATACTTTTATATGTACGTTGGATTATATAAAAACAGTTTTTCCTAATCAGTTTGGACTCCAAACATTCGTCTCTGAATTAAATCATATATCAGTACCAGGAACGCTACTCAATGTAGCATACGAAAAACATGAAATGTAACTTACATGGAACAGTGTCATCCTCAATACCTGACACCGATTTATCGAAATAACGAACTCTGGATAACATTACAAGATTATGCATTCAATTCATTCATAACTTCTTGCCTTCATGTCAAGGATAAGGATTATTTAGTAACGTCACGGATGAGTTAAATTTACTAACGTCACGATGTCAGTACGTAATAGCATTCATGTGCCTATTTGATTCACTCCCAGCCATAGGAATCTTGTTTCAATTGAAAAGTGAAATTTATAACCAGATGAAAATTGATGGATAGCACAAGAAGAATTCAATGAACAATTAATTTGCAGGACTTGAAAATATCTTTTTCATAGAAAAATGAAAAGGGTGAAAAATGTTACTAGAGAAATAATATTCTAGGCACTGCCTTTTTAGTTCTTCAAAATAGTACGATATAAAAAAGCACCTCCTCCACAATCAGGTGATTGATCATTTTCATTGTGATGTTTTACGTGTTACCGATTAAGATTTAGTAAAGACAAGGTTGAAAGAGAAACCACGTATTCAAACTTGAATTTTCAGTCCGAGTAAATTGTCACTTGTCCCGGATACGACTAAGTGAATATTGTCAGTAAACGAATGATATACAGAACACTGAATTTTCAAACCTCCAAAAGAATGGCGTCATAAAAAACTCATCTAGGACAGATACTATCACTTATCCCCGATTGAGACTGAGGTAAAGGTTGAAAGAAAAACGATGTATTTATTCCTGAATGAGTTATGAATTTTGGTCAACTGTAATAAGTTCAAAAGTGCGAGTTGTGGAGGGATGTGTTTCGAATAATTTTGTTTATAATTTGTATGAAAGAGAAACTTCTGTGCAGACAATTTTTTGAAATTTTCAAATATAGAATACAATGCCATAACCTTATGTAGGAAATGAGAATATGTCAATAACCTCACAACTATTCATGCCACATCATTTCAGCGTAACTTGTCTGTTGTTAATAGGTCTTTTCATCATAAGACGAGCGCAAGCGTAGCCGTCATATTGAAATGGCGGTAATTCAAAACATTCGTACAATTTTAATCAACAAATGGCTGGGCAACGAATATTATCTCTACAAACAAATAAATTATTGGAAAAAACCAACTTGTTTATAATTCGGTTGAGGCTCATAATTGTGAACGATTAAAAAGGTGGTTTAAACGTCATGGGCGTCCGCGAAAAGGAAAAAAGTGAGCTGATTGAGAGATCAGGTATCAGCATTTGTTTACTATCTGAAAACATATAAAAAAAATAGTATTTACAGTTTTATTCTCATAAATAATGCCAATTTATTTGATGTAAATGAAAATATATTTCAGTTGACAAGAGTATCACTTATGCAACTAATAAATAAATCAAGCCATTAATATTTTGAGGCTGTACATATGACATTATCAATTAGACAAATATGTAAATACTGAATTGAATATGTTTATTAATTTTTATCAGAGGGAAATATTTAATACAACATAATATATATGAAATTTACAGTCAAAAATGCAATAAGGAATAATATACGTATGTTGAAATTCCTGATAGCTTAAAGAATTAGGGTTTTGTTCAGTTGGACCATTTTCTCCAATGAAATGTAGTGAGCAAATATAAGTATCTTTGGTAACATCATCAATAGATTTAAAGCCTCGGTCACTCCTGCCACATTTTTTCACCCATAATTCACATTTCGCACATGCTTTAATATGTAATTTGCTTGATGATTTGATTATTTTTTTGCGATATTCAAGACAAGGCTTTGGAAAATTTATAAAATAATATGTGTTGGTTTTGAATGATTTGTATCGTGTATCACTTTTACATACTCCATAACAACACCGTTTTGTTGTTCCTTTTCGTACAGATAACATAATTATAATGGAGTATAAAAATTTTTTTCTGATTATTTTGACTTAGTACTTTATTTTTTTTCACTTTTTTACAATTAATAAACTTCAATTTATATTTTAATCTTCAAAAATTAGTTGCGGGCTCTTTAACATGGTTGTTTACAAAAACGATGGTTGATACTGACGCATGCGCACAAAAAAATTGTGATGAAAAGGTCTATGGTAGGGCAGAGATTGATACCGTGTGTGGCATGAGGGTTTGATGCAAGTGACCGTCGATGAATATCTCTCGAATACTTTTATCATCAACGCTGGTGTTCTTCAGGGATCCATATTTGTCTCCAACCCTCTTCATATTGTATATCAACGAGTCACTGAAAAAAAAAAAACAAGAATCCATTATATTGGTGTCACTATTTTTCGGATTCAAAAGCAGTGGATTTTTGGAATTTCTTCCTGACATTCCGCTGGCGCGAGTGGCTAGCTTCTCCAGAACATCCTGGATCAAGATCCGATGAAATAGGAATCATCGTCACTTTCGCCTCGAATTGTGAATAGCTTAAATTCTTTTGAAATACGTCAAGAAAATGAAATGTCCAGATGTCATATGCGATAATCTACATGAATACATATACTGGAAAAAAATCGTGGATACAGTGGTTATTCGTGGTAAGTATTATATATTGAATTTTCATGATCATTGTGGTGGAAAATGAACAATAAATGTGAAACTTCTGAAAAGAAGATGGGAAAAAATTAATGGAGTATTATAATGTCTTTAGTGGTATGAAACGAAAAACCATTTCCAAATCATTAATAATCAATTGGCTTCCTTATCAAACCAACTTCGATGTCTGCTTCACCTCATTAGGTTGAATTAGCGGTTATAATATGAGATGTTATGCTGATATTTACTGATTTTTTACTGATTGATGACAGTTTATTGCAGTAATTTGTTATATATGATAGAATTGGCCGATACTTGATGAAATTTCATAAGTAACATATTCAAAAAACACTTCATTGTGAGATTTTGACTAAACAGTTTCACAAAAACGCAACACATGTTTCGCCATACAGTCGCTTCTTCGGGCCCGAAAAAAGTAAACCCTTACCCTTAAGAAGAAGTGAAAGAAAGACGGAAGGAATGCCACCTGCAAAATATGTCGACGTCAAAAACCCCAAAAGCAAATGAGTGAAAGCCTTCACCAGAATTCATCAAAAACGCTTAAAACCACCAAAGTTTCGAGTAGTCAATCCAGGAGAAGAATGCAGTTGGAAATCGAATTTGAGAAGAAAAAAAAGATTGGCAGAAATCGAAAAATAAAGCTGATTGAAAAAGAAGGAGAAATGAAAATAGCAGAATTGTACAGTCTAAATTCAAGTGAGTTTTCAGTTGACACGTAAATCATCCTTCATTCAAAACTGAGCATATACTCTAGATGAAAATGAAGATATTTCATAAAATTTAAATAATAGACAGAAACAAGAATCAACTAAGGCAAATGTTCAGGAAAATATGGCGAAAGAACATAAAATGTATCACATTATGACTTCGCGAATTTTCCGACGCTGAAAACATTGTGCGTTTACAAAAGTTCATCGATACCCTTGAGCCCTACAAGAATGATTGATTCCAACAAATGAGAAACCAGACTTTTGTGGGAGAGCAACCAGTTCAAACTCCCAAATAAACTTACTGCACTAACTCGGCTGAAAGCTATACGCAGAGAAAAAAACTTTGCTGTTATATATGAGACGAAGATTTTAGAATATTTGGAAAAAGAGTATGCCAGGAAATTGAACAATGAGGAAATTCAGAATAAATCCGAAAATATATGGTATACTTGCCTCATTTTTCTATTACAAATCCAAATAAGCCTGTCAAAATACGTTTTGTATTTGACTCCATAGCAAAATCCAATGGTACCAGTTGCAACAACTTTCTTTTAAAAGGTCCAGACTTGTTAAACTCTCTACTCAGAGTAATTTTTGAATTTAGACAAACAAATATAACAGCAACAGCACATATACAGGATATGTATCATATGTTTCATAACTGTCCTCAACAAATGTATTCCTAACAATATTTCACTATCACAAACTAATTCATTTTCAACACTTAGCAACTAACGCCTAATTTATTTCCACTATTTGAATTCCTTGTTTAACCGCTCGATTCACTTTCTGAATTCAACTGCCCTCTCTGGACGAGTAGCCTGCCTTTTATAACGGTAACGATCATTCTAGAATTCTATAATCATTTCGGTACCCAACTAGAGTTTAATCGGCGGTTCGACATAGCCATTCCTTTACCAGGGCGTCAGCGACGGTGAAGGCTTCCTGGCTAGGCAAGGCAAAGGCTTCTGCCCACTTACTGAAATAGTCCATGGCTACCAGGATGTATTTGTTCCCATGGTCGGACTCTGGGAACGGGCAGGCGATATCGATGACGATTCTCTCAAAGGGACTACCCACGTTATACTGGCGCATTGGAGCTTTCGGTCGTATCCGAGGTCCGTTACTGGCAGCACATACAGCACACTTTCTGCACCAGTCCTTG